GTTATTTCTAAACAGGAGAGAGGGACTGGGGGAAAAGAGAGTGATTTGGGAGGAGTTTGACTCATATTCAGTTGTGCATTTCCCCCTAACGTTGCAAACGTGCATGGAGAGTTTACCTCATCAGTTATGAAAGGGACGTCGTATCTCTGGAGAGCAGTAGTAGCAAGGTGGCTGACGGGCCCCTCTCCAGCTTCCGCATACTTCAAAAGAAGTGGGATACCTTCTGGAAGCAGGGCATTCTTCAGAGCCAGCAGATACATCTTGATGTCCTCTTTGTTCTCTGTTTTTTCTAGTCCTCCCAGGATTAACTTCTTAGCTTCAACCACTGCCTAAAAGACCACATACCTTAGATGTACGCATGACCACACATAAAATAAGACTTGGGCAAGGTTGGCTTTATTCTTGTGTCCAAGAAAACAATCTAAAGTTATAGAAAGTTTTGCATTGGTTGCCTGAGGTACACAATGAAATAAAAGGAAACAAGTAAAGCTTAAGAAAGATGTTGTGTTTTTTTTTAAAAAAATACATATATTAACACATTCTTAAGAAGTAACGATACCATTGATACTGGGCATATTTACTTTGGAACACATTCTAAATGTACAAAGCCACTTCTTAATTCCCTTGTGATTGATTATTCAAAAAACTGCCCGTTAGCTCAATTTCCAAAGCAACAATGAGATGGGACCCTCGTGTCACGACGCACCTTTTCTTAAGTAACAACTTGGGTGAGAGCCCTTGGAGCCTGATCATAAGGTCTAGCTCTAAATGTTAAAAGTGCCTGTTTTCACTTGATTCCAAATTTAATTAATGGTGTCACACAGTTCAAAGAATATTTCTTAAATGCCTTCTATGTGGCAGGTGCTTTGCTAGGTACTTTTCAAATATGCTCTGTGATCAGAAAACGGTTTTTTTTTTCCTACCCTGAAAACAAAAAAGGAATTGAATACAAATTAATAGGTTAGTGAAAAAGCAAGTTAGAAATAGGGACCTCTGGGTTCTGATCTTATCTTTGCCACTACGTATGTTTTAGAGGCTTCAGTTTCATCTTTAAAGTAAAGATTCCTGAGATCTGATTCATACATAAGAGTCATGAATTCTGAAATTCGGCTATAAGTACACACACACACACACACACACACACTCGGGGAAGGGAGGATATGGAGGATAGTGGGAGAGGAGTATCTACAAAAGGCCCCCAACAGAAGAAAAGTTGATTAACTTCACACGTAATCAGAGAAGTGACATTTCTCAACTATTGGATGGGCAAAAAATTCAAAAGTTTGATAACATATTTTGTTGGGGAGGCTATGGGGAAATCGGTATTCTCATAAATTGCTGATGAGAGCATAAAATGGTACAATTCCTATGGAAGATGATTTGACAACAGCTAAGATATTTTGACCCATCAAATCTAGTTCTGAAGCTACATCTCGATAATAAAAAAATTCACCCAAGATTATTCATTTCGGCATTATTTGTAATAGAAAAATAGTGAAAACCATCTACATGGCCATGCGTAGGAGGCGTTGGCTGAAACGCAGTCCATGGACACAACGGAGCACTGGCCAGTTGTAACCAGGAATGAGATGCTACACTTTGTGTAAGAAAAGAGAAATAAGAATTTGTGCCTGTGTGTGAACATCTGCTTAGTGTTGCAAAAACAAACACAGGAAGAAAAAACCTGAAAACTAATGATATTGTCACCTACAGGAGATGAGTGGGAAGGCGGGGAAGGGACAGGGAAGGGAAGGAGACTTCTCTGAAAATATTTTAAAAATACAGTTTTGACTTTTGAACCAAGTTACTATTTTACATATTCAAGAAATAAAATTAAATCAACAGGATGGAAAACTCCTAAAATTCAATTCAAATAGAAACAAATGAACCTAAATGTATAACAAATCGATAATATAACTGAACAGAAGAGAACAAAAATGAATGAATCCAGGCAATTTCTGAGCATAGAACCTTGACTATATACCTTCAATGAAATATATTCTAAGAACAAAAAGAATTGTAAAGAAGTCTTGAACTTTACTTAGTTTTTGTAGTTTCCAGACAGATCTCACTGACTCCAATCCAGCCAACACCCAATCCATACACCACCTTGCTTCCTCCTAAACAAAATATCTGAGCATGTGACTCACCTGCCTAAAAACTGCTCCGGTCTCCCTTCTTTCTATAGAGTGAAGGGCAGACTCTTTAGCTTGCCATTAACAAATATCCAGCTTGCCCTGTCTTCTGTCTCCCCCTCTTTCCTGTCTCCACCCCTGTCTATCAGCCCCCACAAACACACATTTGGTGTCCAGCTCCACAGAAGTTCTCACTGTTCCCAAGCGTACCAGGCCCATGTTGGCTTTGGGCCTTTTCATACATTGTTGTATTTCTCCTAGAAATTTCTCCTTCATTCCATACTATGATCTCTTCACCTAAAAAGCTCCTCTAGATTAAGCTCAAATATTCCTATTTTGGTGAAACCTTCCCCAGCACCTACAAACAGAAAAAGTTGCGGCATCTTCTGTAGAGCACTTTGTTTATATGTCAATATTATTTATCTGTTTATATTTGATAAACAGACTAGGAGTTCTTTGAGGATGGTACAATAGTTTATGCATCTTTATATTAAATGATTAGCATCATGCCTAGCACTCATGAATCTGAGTGGATCTTTTATATATGGATTTTATCTTTAGCCAAGATATTTAATATGTGAAATGCTGGAGTAAATCAGCTACTCAAATAATTATGGAAATTGAAAAATATAAGAAGTCATGGTTCTCTAATAGAAAAATAAAACTTAATTTTATTTCTGCCAGAATTTAATA